GAAGGGAAGAAGGGAGGGGGCAGGGAGGGTCTGAGGCAGTGGAGCGCAGGCGCAGTCGCATTCGGGCCTTGCCCGGGCCTGAGGGCCTGTGGCGGTCCTGGCGCAGGTTGCTATGGTTCCCTAAACAGCGGCCGTGGAGGGAGCAGCTGCTGCCTGGCCCTCCCGGCGTCGCTTGTCACGGCCACGCCGTGGCAGAAATGGCGCCGTCGCCCGGCTGGGGCCTGCTCTGGGTGGGCCTGATCCTGGGCTTCGTCTGCACCACCCTGGAATCTGCGGCGAAGACCAATTCTGCCACAGGTGATGCCTGGCCCGCGCCCAGATTGCGGGGGTCCCCTTCTTTTCTTCACGTTCGCTCCATTCTTCTCTCCTTACTCCATCCACTCTTCCCTTACTCTCTCCCACTCTTCCTTCCATCTATCCGTCTTTCACTCCTACCATCAGTCATTCCTTCCTTCTTTCCATCTATTCTTTTATCCATCTAGGCCTTCTCCCCCCTCCCCCCAATTCTGCTTGAATCCTTGGATGTGAGCTTTCTGAAAACAGGGAATGCTCTGCTTATCCACCTAGCCTTCCCTCCATTCCTCCTTCCTCCCAACATCTTTCTATCTCTGTATCAGTCCATCCCTCTCCTTCCCTCCATCCTTCCCTCCATTTCTATTTCCTTTCCTCTTTCCCCATCCATCCGTCCTCCCTCCCTCCCTCCATCCAACCACCCTTTCATCCTTCCATCTACTCTTCTCTCTAAATTCTTTCCTTTCTTCCATCCTTCCTTCTCCCCCTCTCTCCTTCATGCAGCTTGAGAATATGGCCAAAGCCTAATCTTGCCACGCAGTATTCAGACTTCCTCTTTGCAGCCCATTCCCACCCTTGCTGAGGTTCAGTCCTGGTTGGCCCTCCCTGGCTGGGTTGTCAGGGTGCAAGGGCCAGTGTCAGCCAGCCTCTCACTATTCTAGCACCTACCATGGGGTGGGGGTGGTTTTACCGTCAGTGCAGGCTACCTCAGGGAGGCCTCTCTTTTCCACGCAGATGCGCTGAATGTCCTTCTCATCATTGTGGATGACCTGCGCACCTCCCTGGGCTGTTATGGAGATAAAATTGTACGGTCCCCTAACATCGACCAGCTGGCATCTAATAGCCTCCTTTTCCAGAATGCTTTTGCCCAGGTATGTCTGGGGACTTTGATGTGCCACCTCCTGCACTGAGGGTTGTGGGCCCTGCAGCCATTGTTAGATGGCACAGAATGTGCCAGAAATCTGTCTGTTGGAGGGAAGCATAATCTGGAAAATGGTGGTTGAAAAGAACGAGATGGCTACTCACAAGGAAGCTTGTGGCTTTGAAGGATGTGTTCTGGCCCTGATATGCTCAGAACTGCCCTGTCCAGCTTTCTCTCAGAAGCAGGGGTCACCTGGTGCTCCCAAGGTGGGAGTGCTGCAGAATACCACCCCAGGCCCATTGACTGAGCCTAGGGCAAAGGCCAGCCAACTGGCCATGTGGCCCTCCTCCCTGAGCCCCTTCCCAGGGTTCCCCCCAAGACCTGTGCCTGCTCTGTGCAAGTATCTGCTGGCGTGAGGGAGGGGCTGATTCCTTCCCTTTCTTTCCTGGGATGACTGATCTCTGATGCTGGGTGAGGCCCAAGTCTCGCCATAGTCGGCATTGAGGTCTGCATGACTCAGCCACCCAGCTGATTGCTGAGGATCTGAGGAGATGGGGAGGTGGCTTGGTTACCTGGGAGATGACAGGCACTTATTGCTGGAGGACATCCACCTCTGCTTCTGTTCTCCAACAGCAGGCAGTGTGTGCACCGAGCCGTGTGTCCTTCCTCACCGGGAGGAGGCCTGATACTACCCGCCTGTATGACTTCAACTCCTACTGGAGGGTGCACGCCGGAAACTTCTCTACCATCCCTCAGTACTTCAAGGAGAATGGCTATGTGACGCTGTCGGTGGGAAAAGTCTTTCATCCGGGTACTGCTCTGTGTGCAGTCTGAACTCCCTAGTTTCCTGCCCAAGGCCAAGATTGCTCCTGGGGTTGGGGCTGCCCTTGCAGAGGTCTCTCTGGTGTACAGGAGACCTGTTGCTATTGTTAAGTGATGTATGACTATGTTCGCTGCCTGGGTTTCATGTCCTCGCCAGAAGAAGAGAAGGGTAGATGGCGTTTGATTTCCTTTAGAAACTGGAGATGGTGCTGTTTGTTTGCTCAGGCTCCTGGGCTGGTAGGCAGGGCACAGGCTGGGAGGTAGCAGTGTATGGTTTCAGTCTGGCTCTGGGTATGACTATCTGCCCTGCAGGGTACGGGCTGGTGTAGTTCAGGTGTGGCAGGAACATCTTAGGGCCTCCTGTATAGCCAGCACTGCTGGTGCTTACTTGTTGCCCAGGGGAAGGACTGCAATGTGTGGCATGGCTGCTGCCTGATCTGTGAGTTAGGTCAGAATGAAGAGTGTATGCTGGGCCCCAAGGCCTGTAGGGTGACAGAGACTGCTGGTCCTACCTTCAACACTGCCCAATAAGCTGGATCTGTAATGATGTGGGAATATTGACCTATTTAATAACCGTAGTAAGCTACAAACTATCAGCTAGATGCTACCTTATAGTATATTCATTCTACTCAGAGTTTCTTGCCTAAAGTCAGACATGTATTCACAGATATGTATGTACCAGCTGAACTTGCTATTCAAAGTAGTTAGATTATTTAAGACATTTTGTGAATCAATGAAATGTGGGGAAAAAAGGAAAGGAAAACGAACTGTGGACACTTGAGATAGTGTGGGAGGAGGGTGGGAAATGGCAGAGAGTGAGAAATAGGAGGGAAAATATATATGTGAAACTGAATTTTCCATTTTTCCTAGAAATGGAAAATTATGGATGATAATATGTATGATTAAGCCACTATGCAGTATATTCTGGATGGGAAATCACATTTTGTATGCTGTGGCGATACTCAGGGAATGAATGTAAATTAATTAACTAATTAAAAATAAAAAAATGATATAAAAAATAGTCAAAAAAAAGTTTTTGCTATAGGATGCGTGCATTTGCTAGAGAGAGAGAGACAGAGAGGGAAAGTGGGAAATCATCCTCCAGAGGGGTGGCCATGCTGCAGTTCCTTCTCCTCCATTCTCTTCTCTGGATTTTGGGCACGTACACAGACAAGCCCAGTGTGCTTTTCAAGCTGCCAGGTCCAGGACTGGAACAGTAGTCAGCCATGTGGGAATCCAGCACCTTCACTACACTGCCTGCTGGTCCCCTAAAACTTTTTTTTTTTTTTAGTTATAGAAATAGTGCATAATTATTTGACCAAAAAAATGGGACAAAAGGAAACTTTAAATTATTCTTGTATCCTGCCACCTCAGGAAAAATGCAAGTTAAAATTCCACTTGTGGGACTGGCAATGTCGCTGGACTCCCATGTAGTCTACTGCGGTTCGAGTCCCGGTCCCAGTGGCTTAAACTCACACTAGGCACGTGTGCATGCGTGGCCAAGATCCCTACAGAAGAATGGAGGAAAAGGGATTGCGGCATGGCCATCCTCCCTGGGGGGTGATTTCTTGCTTTCTGTCTCTCTGTCTCTCTCTGTCTGGTGAGCACATGTGCCCTCTAACCCCTCCCCCCAAAAAAAAACTCTCAAAAAAAGTTCCACTTGTTTTGATATGATGTTCTGATTTGTGATTATGCTATATATACAACTGAATTTATATCCTGAATTGTTGAAATGGCATTTTCCCATGGTGTTACTCTATCACAGTCTTTTAGTGACAGTAGTGTAATACACATGTGCACACACTGCAGTCCCCATTGTGGCAGATTTTCACTGTCACCAAATGTGGGCATGAGCACCTTTGGAAGCAAAGTGAGCTGCGGATCGGCTTTCGCCTCAGGATCTGTGTGCCTGAGTTCCAGTCCCAGCTCTGCCACTTTTCAGCTATGTGGTTGACCTTGGGCATTTTGTTCACCCTCTTGGAGCCTCAAATTCCATGTTGGAAAGCTGAAGTCATTGCAGTCTGGCCTCCCTCCCAGGGGAGTATCCTGATTGGGGTGGTTCATGAGGGAGAAAGTGCTCTGGAAGCAAGCATCATATAGACTGTAGTGCTTTTCCTTGGGGGTGACAACTTTCCCTGTGCTCACTGGTCAACTGGCAGACTCAGTAGCTGCCTTCTGCTTCTGCTCCCCAGCAGCAGGCAGTGTGAGCCCCCTGAGTACAGGAGGAAGGTGACATTCAGTGACACCCACTCTGGAAGGTGCATGTCAGGACTCATGCTGTATGACCAAAAGCCCTGCAGTTTGGTGCTCACATCACTGCATACCTTGCCTGAATGCAGCCGTAGGGAAGTGAGAATTCTGGTGAGGGGAGGGAATGCAGCACAGGGAGGAGACTGTGCTTCAGGAAGGGAGGCTGAATGATGCCCAGTGCTATTGCTTGGCCACTTCCCTCCTGCTGAGTAGCCCTGGGGATCAGGTTCTGAGTGCCATGCCCTAGCCTGAAAACTGAAGTTTTGGGGAACCAGCAGTTAGCGTAATGGCTATGTCGCTGGACTCCCACCTAGTCAACCGCGGTTCGCGTCCCGCACCCGGTGGTCTAAAAC